AATTTCTTTATGGGTCATTCTAAGCATGTGGTTCAAGTTTTCTATTATCTAATTTCTCACTCTAAAATATTATACTTTTATCCATGAAATACTTAGTCTGAAATGACTAAATTAGAAATCCCTCTTGAAAAACTTGGACAAGGATTACCTTTAAGAGATTTAAGTCTTCACAGTTTTCAATTAATTTAAAACATAAGTGTACTTGACAATCTTAGTATTGTTCATTGGTAATACTCTCCAAAAGTTGACCCACTGCTGCTCTTCCTTAGGCAAAATGATGCCTGTAAAACACTCAGGAAACAGGTAAACAAGAAACAGCCACTGGAAGCAAGATGTGAGAAATGTATGAACAAAAGAGAAGTAGCATGGCTTTGGAGCCAGAAAAGTCCCATCTTAGCACCTAATAGCTCTACTCTTGGGCACGATGCCTAGTCCACCTGTATCTCAGGTTCTCACTTGTAGAACAAAGCTCACATTAGCTACTACGCAGTATTGTTTTGAAGTTTAGATCATGGAATCCATGTAACATGCTAGCACAGCCCCTGATACATCATCAATGCTCAGTAAATGTTAACAATTATTATTATTATTATTCATATTTATGACACAGAGCATTTAGTGTACTCATCACACCATCGTCCATGGTCAATGGCACTGATAAAACAGAAGTATCTGCGTCTCTAGTGTTAGCTGAAACTCATGTCAAAAAAAAAATACATTGAGAAGCAAATGATTCCATTGGAAAATAAATCTTGGACATTGGTTTGCAGTAGGACAATGCTGTGAGAAAAATGGGAGGAGGGCAAGGTAAGTTCTGGGGTTCATCTGAACCTTGCTTGTCTATTGAGAACAACAGGCAATTGTGGTGGCATTTGGTGTGTGTGTGATGTGGCTTCTCTTCCTTCAGTGATCATGCTGAGGCTAGCAAATGACAGTCAGATGTTAGCAATTTGGGGTCACATTTGAACTGGTGACTCAGGGTGCAAGTGTTCTATATCCCACCAGTTCCTTTAGTCAGCTCCTGAGTCACAACTTACTTTATTTTCTTAAATAGAGGGAGCTTGCCTCATGGGAGCCATTTGAAATGAATAAAATATAGTGTTCCTTATAGCAAGTTCTAAATTAGCTATCATGGTCAGGGAGTTTTCTGGTTGGTCTAATCACGGTGACAACCACTGATTTTCAGAGAACTAAGATAAAGTCAAAATATATTTATCACTAAAATGAGACTGGACAGAATTCAATTAGTCTTAGATGCCACAGGCCTCTCCAGATCTTAAAGGTCTAAACTGATGACTGTGAATCATTTTGTAGATGTGTGGACAGATCAGGCAGTAAAGGTAATGAGTTGATGGACTAACAGATAAAACAGCGTCTACTAAACTTTAGAATTGACCTAGGGATAAACAGTCTTAACTAGCAAACAACAACAACAAACACAATTATAGACAGTTAAAAAAGAAAGGTCGAAGAAATGGGTATATTTTTTATTCTACCAGAAAGTTGGTTTCTATTCCATAACAGCTCAATTATTTAATCTTCAGGACAACCAAGAAAGTGGGCGTTATTGTAGCCAGACCGGTGTGAATCAAATATTGGTGGAGTCAAGCGCTCAGTAGGCACCTAATGAATAATAATACATGTGTGGCAGGGCCAAAAGGAAGCACTCTTTTCCCATAAAATTCCTTCCTTCCCAGAAAAAAAAATAATTTTTTTCAGGATGGCTACTTTTGCAATAAGAGCAATAGTTTGGAGTTTATTGTGATTTTTTTTTCTTTCTTCCTTTCCAACCATGAAGAATCCTCTCTTCCTCACTGGCCTCACTGAGACCTTCACCAACCTAAGAAGGGTGAAGACAGGGAGCAAGATAGATTCGTTTCACACAGTGCAAAAGAAAGAAAAACTACCTAGCTTCTGACATTTAGGATACCGCATAGCAGACAATAGATTTGAAACCAGGTTGTTGTAAGGAAGAACTGTATAAGTTCATTTACCTCATCTTCTTGCAACTCAGTGAAGATTTCTGCTTTTTAGCATGGCAGAAGATTATCTATTACTTACTCTATTACTGCTCTTCTAGAGAGGAGTGATATAAGGCAAAAAAAAAAAAAGAATGTGTTTGTAAAGAAGGGAGAAAGCAGTCAAATATTTGTTCTGATTTGCTTTCTCTCTATTTTGGCCCCATGGGTGTGTTGTGGGGTTAGATAGCTAGAACGTCACACAGTCTTCCACCTGGGACTCTGGAAGCAGATGGCCATGCCACCACGGGGAAGGGGAAGGTCCATCTGGGAAGACGGAAGAGCAGGCCAGGTCAGACAGACTCCTTGGTGACTAAGGGAGGAGGCCACAAAGTCAGGGGAGAGATGTGGACTCTTAAGATCTTTGCCCAGGTGAGCCAGTGGGAAGTTGTCCCAGTGAAGAGGAGGTGGCCCGTGAACAAAAGAATGGATCCCAAGCTCATCAGAGACTGAAGCACTGGAGAGAGGCCAGAGGGGCAGGCCATCAGACAGCAATCCACACACACGCTGGTCTTCCTCACCTCAGGCAAGGACTCAAGGGATATCGGAGGCTACTGGAGACAACACTTTTGGTCGAGTCTAAGGCACTATTTACACGTTTGGAAATTCTTAAGTATTAATATTGACAGTAGCATTTTCACCTTCAATCCAGCAGATGTGGGCTCAAGAGATTCATCAATTTACTTCCAGGTTAAAGGAAGTATCTACATTTTCTCAGCATTCCCTATATCAGCATAAGTTAAAGTTTGACATTTGTAACCCAGCTGACCAATTGTGTCTTAAAAATCAATGCTTTATATTTTGGTAACTGAAATATTTCAGGGTTTACAGCCCCTTTGCCAGGGCACAGTGGCTCCCTCCGAGGTCCTAGGGATCCCAGGAATGGTCACCTCACCTGTACTCTCAAAGAAGTCTTGTCAGAAATGGACTCACTGCCATTTGTTTTCTGCTCCAGCATCCCTGGGTGTCTGGTTCCTGACCCCAGCTTAACACTGGGGTCATCTAAGGAATTTGAAGAATAGTACCCGTAATGGGGAATTGTCTGAGTGAACAGGTCTGATGAGACCACAGGCATGAATAAATATTTCTTAAGAGATCCCCAGGTGATTTCACATGCTGCCCGGCCTGAGAACCAGCACCTTGGTGCACCATGCTGAAGAATCTGGCCACAGGAATGTGTATGAAGCTACCTTCCGCTGCTGACAGGGCTTCCAGGTGGCCCACCAGTGTGCCTTTCCTGGGCGTTGCTGCTACTTCTGCCGAATACTGCCCCTTCCCTTGGTACCATCACCTCAGCCTAGCTCTCTCATTGCCTACAATTCCTGCTGATGTGTCAGAGTCCTTCAGGTGCCTGAATGGTGCTTCGCCCATCCAGCAAGAGGTTGAGCCAGGATTCAAACTCCTGACACTAACTTGATCATCAGTGGTCTCTACAAAAGGAAAGAGTACACTCTAAGACAAAGGAAGTCCTAAATCAGGTATGTTTTCAGTCAGTACAAAGATTGGGAACTTGCTGCATGTGATGGGAGAGAAATACTTAACTACAGTGATAATTTTTCTATCCTGAGTCTGTATCTACAGAGGATGCAATGCTACCCAGGATTCAGCTAGGAGACTATTATATACCATTTTGATATTTGGTGGGAAAACATTCTTTCAGCAACCATATTAAATGAGGACTACTAGGTGTGAAGCTAGGAGCTAGGAGCCAAAAACCAAGTAAGATGCACAACCTCTTGCCTTCAGGTAACTCATATTTGTTCTTTGTTTCCATTTTTATGAACAATTTATAGACTGTTTAGTTAACACTGTACATTTCAAATATTTTTATCTGTTTGTATAAGAGCATCTAATAGTGTATGATTTCTCTTGTTTCCAACTAGATTCAAAATAGTTCCCTTACTAACACATCTTCAAAATAAGGACAATGTGATATGCCCTGATGAATTAAAGTGAACAGGGTAGGAAAGATATAGAAAGAAAGCTTCATAAAAATAAATGAGCGCTGCCAGCAAGTATTATATTACTTGGCTCCATCCTTCTGGAAGTTCTGGGAGCTGATTACTTGATTTAGTTCAGACTTTAAATAACCTCATAAAAGAGTCCAATCCACAAACTATTTACACCTTTATTGAAGTAGCAAACTTTTTTACTTTATAAAACAGGTCAGAATTCCGAGGGAAGAAGTATTTATTGAAGGGTGTAACAATTGGGAAAAGTCAACACACATAAAGTATTGTAATAAAATTTGTTTTCCAATAGGAAACAGTCTAAGATAATTTCCCGAGTTATTCATGAAAACGAGGATAGAAGTCTGCGACCTATTAAACTCCTGAGATCACTTCAACACTATCTTGCTGTATGCCATAAACACCACCCACACTCAGCACGTGAAACAACCTGCTGTAATGGGAGCCCTTGTCCGCCTCAAAGCTGCTCTTGCCTCTGTAACAGTCGGGAACTGACCTGGAACTAGGACAAAGCCATGGGCAGGGCACCAGTAATAGGTTTTACAAGATGCCACGTGTATTAGAAACTTGGTGATACAAGTGTATAAAATTTTAATATTCAACTTTTCCTTTTAAAAAGGTGACAAAGCCAACAGGGAAGTGATATGAAAATATATTTTTAACAGTGTCAGGGAGGCAATGAATTTCCAATTCAAGTCAGTTTTTTTCAAGATATTTAAAAACCAGCAACAAATGAGAGTTTGACAAAGACTGCTGATCCTTGTCTATCCTTCTAGTACATGACCTATTGTTAAGACTGATAACACATTATGGACAATAAGGAGGTTCTTTGGGTGCCCTATTTTGCATAAACTTCTGTTTATGTTTCTAAAGATATGTGATTCTTACTAATCAGGTATCTTCATTTCTTGTGCTACTTGACTAATTAATAGTTCGGGGGGCAGTTATCAGAGGACGAAAGGTTTAAGACAAAAATTTTCAACAAGCTTCAATTAATATTGCTATTATGAGATATTTATTAGAATTTTAATAGTCAATATGTACTTAATCAGGCTTATGTGCTCAGTGTTCATTCTTGATGATGAGGCTGATAGGGGAACATCCGCTTTCACACTCAGCTGAGTGGTCGTGTCAATGAATGGCTTGCAAGAAGAACCCGAGTCGAGTCAGATGTCTACTGTGAGTTGCCTGTGACTAATCTTCATGATGTATTTATACACCACAGTTCTCATGATGGTAATACAGTTCATACTCATTATAGGCATCATTTAGTATCTAGCTGAATTTTTAAAAGAGATCTGGGTGGGGCATGCACTTTGGCTCTGCTTAGCCAGGGTAAGCTCCAGCGACACCAGGTAATCTGTTGGCATGCTGCATCTGCAACTGGAAGCATTTAAACTGGGCCTTCAGAGCCAGTTTGTGAAGCTCCAGATAGCTATCCAATCTGACAACACAGGAGAGCCATAGCTTAAGTTCTGAGGACCATGCAGGAGATTCTAACTTGGGGAGGAACCGAATGAAGACAATACTTCCAACAAACCTGCTTTTACTCCACAGCCCACAGTAACAGCTCAGAAAAGCAATGGCAGAAAGTACTCAGTGTCTTCATTCTATGAATTCTCTTTGACATCCAAGAAGTTGGATTTTAGGCATTTTACCTCGACCTCACCCATAGATCACATATATCATGTTGCTGTGACCCTGAGCAGAAAAATCCACAGAAAACAGTTCTTGGGTATTGCTCTCTTCGCCTGCCTCTCTTTAATCTCCCTTCTCCTAAATGATTTACTGAACTTAAAATGGCATGTTTTGTGTTATTTTCATCCATCCAGGACTCAGAGTATGATGACATTTCTCTCTCTTTTTTGCACTCTTGGTTATGAATGTACATGAAATTGCATCTAGCATAAAAAATACTAGGTACAGTTTCCTTTTGTGAGAAGATCCTTAATGTACAAATTTAAAGAACAACCTTTTTGATCATCTAAATGGGAGTGGAAAGTGCCATTCCAGCCGTGTTTCCTGTGGGAAGTTCCTGACACGGTGGTCACGCTGCTGCTTCTCAGGGTATACAGCACCGTTTCTGGAGCCATGGCCATGAAAGTAGAAACTTTACTGAGAGTAGTTATGTCCGAGCGTAATATGTGTACATACTTTGTAAAAGGAAAAAAACATTAATTAATTGAACAGATCAAAAATTTAGGCATTTTGTAAAAGTAGTCTGATTTAGAACCAAAGGAGGGGACGTTAAAAGTGTACACCACTGGGTTAGCCAGGAAAGGCAAATGGTCATGCCACCCCCCACAAATCCACTTTGGTCAGGTCAGAAGTGACCCAGGTGCCTTTGTTGCACTAATTATGTCCTTGTGCACACTTAGGTGTGCTTTTCTGTTCCCGTGTTTGTTCAACAGTATGAGCTTAAGTCACATCCTGTTATCGATCATAACCCATAATAGTCACAAGGAGAAATTAGGCTTATGAAACAGAAAGCTTTGACCCCAATTAGCAATCAGGTGAGTAAAGCTACCTTTGAGCTTAGAAATGCTGTATATCAATATATCATCCACCAAACTCTCCTTAGTATCTGGAGACTAAGACTAGCATATAATCAAGTATTTTCCCAACTATTGGCAAAAGCCCTAGAATTTTGGACCCACTTGCCCATGCCCAAGTGCCAGAAAGGCATCCCCAGTGTTTGAATGGTTTAAGAGCTATGATAAATGTATTTCAATGAGTGATGCCAAACTTTAAGTGGAAATAGGGTTTACACAGGTTAGTTAATCCAAACCACAATAATTTTTAGAAATAAGTGAATAAAAATTATTGCATGTCATAGCTCACAGCTAGGGCTGGCAAAGTATTTGCACGATCGTTGAACATCTCACTTTATAGATACATACCCAGGATTTGATTCATTAGATTGGCAGTCTCTACCCTGAGTCCATTTTAGCTTTAATAAATTTATGATCAAAGTCCACCATTCGTTCACGCATGCCTTTGTGCATTTGTTCGCTCAGCAGCTACGTCTTAGGAAACCTGCAATGTATAAGGCCTTGTGCTTCGGGTGGAAAATTCAGAGAACAATGAGATGACATCCTCACGCTCAAGAAACTCACAATTTTTGGCAGTGACCCATGACTTGAATACTGTGAACTAACACCACACATTTGCAGTATACCTATTTCTATAAGAAACAGGGTGGGGGTACATACACACTCCACAGTGAATTAAAAATACACCAACAATAGGAGCAGTGTACCCCTCCAGCAGGCTTCCTTTATCTCATTTGATAACCATTCCTTTGTTTACACAGTTCTCCCTTCCCCTGCTGCTTTTGGAAAGACCTGGAGAAACACTGTTCTCTCGGATCTGCATTCGAGGTTCCCCTAGTCCAACCTTTTTATCGCTTTTAAAACATGTTCTATTTTACCTTAAAAGCCACGGGACTAAAGGAGTAAGAGAAGTAACATGAAAAGCCTTTAAGAAATGAAATTTGAAAAATGTATTGGTGGAAATGACTCTTGTTTATTTTACCTTGACAAAATAAAGCAAAACCCCCAAACAAACAAAAACTCCTGGCAACATTCCTTAAAGCAGTTAGCTTTCGGAACAACAGTACAGGGCTGGGGGAGGTCCCAACTGCAGAGGAAACTCCCAACACCAGAGCTCACTCTTCCAGGTAGCACCAACAGGAAAAACAATTCTTTCCCCAGTCCTTCAGTTTGAGATTGGCTGTAGAAAATGCTTCACTCTCAGGGTAACAGAGCTTAATCTGCCTTTTCATTAACTGTCTAAAGTATTTAGATAGTAGAGGGATTGTTCTTCACACATGCAAATCAGTGTCTTCTACATCAAGGATAACAGATTGGAACTCAAGAGTGCCACCTTTCCAAGGTGGCTATCATTGTAAAGTTTACCGTGTGCCCAGCAGACTAGAGACATCTGAGACAGATGAAATGAAGCGGTCTATGACATTAGATTGGACAAAGAATGTTTCAAGTTATTTTAAATTTATTAGAAAAAATGGACTATAAAATGTAAAACATTGTTTACTCTAGATATTTATTCAGAAGTCAATTGGACATTAGTAATACTTTTCAGTGAAATACTAGTAGACCTAGGAACCATGTGTCTGTTGCTTTATAATAATTCTCATTTGCTAGAGTAAAATAATAAATCCTGGTACTATATTTGGATGAATAAAATAGTAAAGGCAGATAGATATATTTAAAATTTTTATATTACTTCCAAAGGATTGCTTATTATTCACACTAAGTGGAGTTAATTTTACTTTTATTTCAAATACTAAATGTTAGGTAACATGTTCATAATAGAAGTTAAATATCATTTTCACCTAAGATTAAATCTTGTACAAGCTCCTACGTAGTAAAAATCACAATAATCAATACATTGAGACTATGCAAAGTAAAAAGATTTAATTTAAAACAGTGATGAGATTGCCAATTTTGAATTCTTGCACTCACCTTTTTAAAGAGAAGTGTTAATATGCACAAGAGGAAACTTAAAATTACCCGAATAAAATTAATTTATTTTACTTAAAAATCTATTAAAAGTTTACCTATTCAAATATATGCACACATACATATCTCCCCAAGATCATTTTTAGGAAGAGGGTAGACATAAAGGAAAAGAAACAAATGTCTATCAAATGTCTAGTACAAGTTGCTTTTCATGCGCACGGCAATCCTGTGATGGAGGTTTTGTTACTTGCACTTTCACAGAGTGGGGAATGCAGTCCCAGGGAGCCTGTGACTTGCCCCAGGTTGGAAGGTTAGTGGCAGAACAAAGACACACTCTGTATCCAGTGTGTCTACCAAAGTTTTCCATCTTCTCCTACTCTGCTTGGGCTTCGCAACAGAAAATGAGGTGTTTTTGCTTTTGTTTATATGTTTCTTTGCTTGATGAGAGAATATAAGGTCAGAAAAGTAATGAGTCTTGGGTTCCGTTTCCTAAGTTAATCACTTTATTTTTTTTACCTAGCATGTAAGTACTCAGAGATACTAGGGGTGAGGGGGGTGAGGGAGGATCCTGTCTTTCTGGTCATTTCTGTTCTAATAATTAGAGAAATAGTGCAGACTTGTCTCACTGATTTAATATTAGGAATAATTGATTTAAAGTACTTAAATCAACATAAAGACTCTGGATTTTAAAAAATCAATTCAATATTTAATAATTAGTGTCAGAAAAGCTGTATCTTAACTTCAAAAACATTTTTCCTTCTCTTAAAAAGTGATTTCCACAATGGTTTTTATTGGCTTAGTGGGAAGACTGCCATCTACTGAATTAACAATACCTTTTCATGTACTACCTGAGTAATTCTTAGAAATCAATACTGTAGAGCAGTTAAAGACATATAGGTATGGATATATGAAGACACATGTATGTGTATATTCCTATATGTATATAGAATGATAGTCCTCTTAATTTTTCTCTGCCCACTTACCTGTAATTTGCTCTTTGACCCCACATATATAGAAAATACACTTTTTTAAAGAAACTCAGATATTCGACTAAAAATCCAATTCATGTAAGATTAGATCTCTTTACCACAGAGAAATTCCGAACGTGAGCCTAATCCCCTGCCCCACTGTGTCTTGTCAGGCCGCGCCATCGGCGATAGCCCCGACCATCTAAACACATTACTTTCTCGATTCTCCCCTCATCCCTGCTTCTGCCTCACATTTTTTCATGTACAAACATGGAAAGCAGAATTGCCCTAGGTGACTTTTATAATTTTTTGATTATTTCACTTTCATTATGAATACAGGTATTTGTTTTTAAAAGCCTGTGTTGTTAAGTTAATAAGTGTGAAAAGGCCATCACTTAGGACAGACTACATCCCCCAGCCAAAGGGACACTTTATTTCTCAGTTCCATCATAGCTGGTAACAAGGTCCCTCATCCCGCGCCTCACTCGCTGGGTGCACACGCCCCGTCTGCCTCCGAGCTGCCCAGTCCTTCCTCCCCTGCTCAGGGACTCAGGGATGGCCAGGCCTGGGAATGAACTGGAGAACAGCACACGCACGCCTTCTACTAAATCATTTTGTTTAAATGACACATTACTTGTTTTTACTTTTGGCGATCTGTCACTCTTTGAGGAAGGGTGGGGGGTGAAAGTTTGTCCTGGGTCGCTTTGTACAATGGTGAGGCAAATTAGGACTTATTTTTTCTTCCTTAACCCAGTGAGGAGGCAAGTGGATTTGATATAAAAAGTTTTCCCATCAATTTGGTTATATAGGCATTCCCTTTTTCTCAATTTGTATCATTTTTAAAAAGCTATAAAGCTGAAAAAAAAACTACTGAGAGGGCATTTTAAAAAATAACTGGGTTTTAAAAGTCTGTCTTACAAGATTTAGAATCACTTTAATGAGATGTAGTCTTAAAGTTTAAAAATTATCAGAAAAATAGAAGAAAAAACTTCAATGTTCATTTTAATTACTTTCAATATATGTTGATAACACAATTTGTATTTTACTACCTAATGAAAATGTGTAACAACAGCTGATACATAGTATATACAACAAAATTGATTACTTGGTTTCATATTCATGGATAGTACAATTGGTAAGCATTACAGGTGGAAAATACTTACCTCTGTACGATTTTTGGGGTAACAAAGTAGCTTTAGTAAAATTCCTATTCATATTGCTTTAATAAAAAGTTACTTATGCTTATAGTTTCTTAGAAACTCCCCAACCTTCTCATATATATATATTTATAATTACAGTTTCCCACCAAAAGTTCAAGATGGAAGGGGGGACATTACATTCAGACTCACAAACACAGAAAACCAAGATTTTAAAATGAGCAATACAAAAATTATTCCAAAGTGAAGCTAATTCCATTGGGAAAGAAGAGACAATTTCCCAGGGGAAAATAATAGAAAACATGAATTTCACATGGTTGAAACATTTTATTTATTTATTTTAGAGGTTTTGACTCAGTTCTTTATTTTTTTTATTTCTATTTTATTGATTAGGCTATTACCATGGTCCTGATCTTTCCCCCGTTGCCCTCTATCCACCCAGCACTCCCCACTCCCTCAGGCAGTCCCCCCACCATTGTTCACAGCCACAGCTCACATGTACGAGTTCTTTGGCTACTTCATCTTAAACGCTCTGAGTTTTTAAATGTGATTCTTCCAAACACATACAGAGGTGGGCAAAAGTAGGTTTACAGTTGTTCATATGGAAAAAGACAGGTAGGTTATGATTCTTACAATAACTTCATTAACTCAAAAGAGTGTTGCAATGCAGTAGTAACCTGCTTTTGCCCTCCCTGTATGCTGCCCTGACTTTTTCAGCACTCAAACACGTATCATCTCTGAGGTACCAAGGTTTGCCACACAAATGAAAGGGCAGCAGAGAATTAAGAAGTAAAATACGTAATGTAAGGTAGTTCAGTTAAAATATCTGACTGTTGTTGCTGTGGTTTCTTTTTCATCTGTGAAATGTAAGATTTTGAGGATTTAGTCTCTAGCAGGGGCATCCAACCTTTTGGCGTCTCTGGGCCACAATGGAAGAAGAAAAGTTGTCTTGGGCTACATATTAAGTGCACAAACCCTAACAAAAACTGATGAGCAAAACAAAGGCTTCAAGTAAACTTGTGAATTTGTGTTGGGCCACATTCATAACCATCCTGGGCCACATGCAGCCCACAGGCCACAGGTTGGACACCGCTGTGGGTCACATTCAGGCCTCTGATCCTTTAATTCTATGAAGTGTCTTTAAATAATCATCATTGTCATCCTGCTTTTTTCTTATAGCTCATGCTCCTACAACTGGGATGCTCACTCCTTCCTCTAGTATCTCAGTTCTCTTGGGTCAGTCCTCTGTTAAGTAGAAAGCCTGTGAGTGTTTAAGTGTATGATTTTGACCTATGAAAAATGATTAAGATACATAAAAAAAGGGAATGATAAAATATGGAGATTTACAAATCCTAATCAGTATCAGAAACTTCTCTCTTTGAGCCCTGGTTGGTGTGGCTCAATGGACTGACTGCCAGCCTGAAAACTAAGGGGTCTCTGGTTGGATTCCCAGTCAGGGCACATGCCTGGATTGCGGGCCAGGTCCCCAGTAGGGGGTGTGTGAAAGGCAACCACACACTGATGTTTTTCTCCCTCCCCTTCTCTCTCCTTCCCCTCTCTCTAAAATTTCTCTTTGAAAGAATGTCCTTTCTTGTTATCCTGAGATTTCACCTAACACTGAATAGTTTACATTTTCTTGGGGGTTTTAATTTTTTTGGTGGTAGTGTTCTTTTCCATTTGCCTGTGTTCTTGATCTACCTGTTTATAGCACAGGGGCTAGCCTTGCAATTATTTTAGCTCTTCCAATACACATTTGACTTTCACCACCAACATTCTTCCCAGCACTCATGTCAGCTTCATCTTCCTGCATCGTGCACCAGCTCCTGGTGGGGGCTGGTGGTGCAGGAGGCAACTGCGGGGTCCAACACGTGGGAGATATGCCAGGCACAGCTTTCTTGTGGTTTGAGTGCAAGGCTAGAGATCAGGAAACTCTCATTTTAAAATGAGACTCTGCCAGGTTGCTGAAGTTGGGGGGAGTGGAGGAGGGTGTGGGAGGATAAATGATGATGGATGGAGACTTGACTTGGGGTGGCAAACACACCACCCAGTGTACAGATGGTGTGTTGTAGAATTGTGCACCTCCAAGCTATATAATTTTGTTAACCAGGGTCACCCTAATAAATGCAATAAAGAGGAAAAATTGTTTACTATATTTTTAGAATTTATGCAAATATTCTTTTCCTCTTCTCTATGTAACGAATATAATTGCTAACATACCTCACCAGGGTGATAATACTCATTTACTGAATTCACCAGGTTTCTCTAATGCCTTCTAAGTTCTAAGGACAAAAGTTGCTATAAAACTGATTGGGAGAAAAGTGACGGCGATAGTTGATTTTAATTATTCTATTTAAAATTATGTAAATGTAACTCGAGTATTGCTTTTCCAGTGGGATCTGTGCTACAACAAAGTTATTCAACTTTGATTAAATCTTGTCCTGGTAACCATATTAAGTAAAAGGAAATATCTAAACAAACCTAACAAGACTTCATAAAAATGCTATGCTTCAAATAAAAAGAAAACATACTCTTTTTGTTTCTTTGACCTATGCCTTAAAAAATAGCTTAATGAAAATATTGAGGACTGTAGTTTTCTGAACCTAATTCACAGATAGTGTTTGGAAGAGAAATTAAAATGTCCATTGTCTAAGTGGTGAACAAAAATAGGAACTTTTAAATTATGAATTGGGTTAACATCTGTTGGGCAAACTGTTTGCTTAGCCTTATTTTAACATTTCACTTCCCTTTCTCCCCCCTCTGTCTCTCCTGCACATCTGGGTATGTGGTGAGAGCACCGCAGAGGCAATTATAAAGCCAGAGTCTAGTTAAGGACCCTGAACTTTCCATTTTTAGCCTCTGCTGCAATGTGAGGATGTCCCAAGAGTAGTCTGGGTGGACTCCACAGGAAGAAAGATCTTGATTTAAAATACAAATAAAACCAAGGTTGCAACAAAACAAAAAAGAGATTTTTTTTATCCTCACCCAAGGACATTTTTTGTTATTGCTTTTAGAGAGAGAGAAAAGGAGAGGAAGAAAGAGAAAGGGAGACATGGAGGGGAAACAAAGAGAAACATTGACTGCTTGCCTTCTGGCACACACCCCACCCGGGATTGAACCTGCAACCTGGGTATGTGCCCTGACCAGGAATCAAACCCACCACCATTTGGTTTATGGGACGACACTCCAACCAACTAAGCCACACTGTCCAGGGCAAAAACAATTTTTAAAAAGCCAGTTGACACAAATAAACACAACTATAAGGAGTTCATTAAAAATGCTATTGTAGATGCTGAAATATTTTCATTTGAAGCATTTGTTAAAGAGAAACACTTTAGAAAGAAGAGTTAACAGTTGAAACATTCTACTGGAAACTAGTCCAAATTGACAGGATAGACAGTTTCAAGGGCAGAGGCTCTGATGTAAAAGGGCTCTGAGTTTCTATCCTGTCTCTGGCTTCTCTTGGTGCTGCCTGGGGCAAGTCCTACTACTTCTCTAGCCTCAGTTTCTTCATATGCAAAATGGGGATATAATCATGACTATGAGGATGATTATAGCACTTATCTCATAGGGTAATCAGAGGATTTAATATGATAATGAATGCATATGGTTATCACAGAGCTTGGCATATGAGAAACAAAATAAATTACAAATAGCTGCTGGTGTAATGAGATTGTTGAAGAACAAGGATTACTGATGCTCTGTGGTAGCATCAGTAAAAGATTTAATCAATTTCAATAGTAAAACTGTAGCAATGGTTTTTATGATGAAATGGAGAGCAAAGTGACTTACTACACAGCACACAAAGTGGCCATTCACTGAAGTAAAAAACACTATCTGCTTTGTTAGGACCATTTGAAATAGTCATGATTCTAGTGCCTCTCTGATAAGCCTATTAGCTGAGTGAGGGAGATTTCCAATAAGGCATGACAGTAGTCCATATTCTCTCAAAGACCTTAACCACTGCCACTATGTTTAGTAATTAGACCTAAAGAGATAAACCACAGTGGTATCTCAGAATAAGTTCAATATCAATTATTTAACCTCAGTCATTCCACTTCTCCTCTCCAAAAGTCCTCTACAGGGTACCAGTTAAGTTTTTTTTAAAACTGACCATGACACTCACCTGGTTAGAAGTTTCAAAAGGTCCCCAAGGCTGTCAGTGTAAATCTCAAAGCATCATCCTACAGAGTCCTCTGGAATCGCCCTCACTGCTCCAGCCTCACCTGGGACCACTCCCCTGCGAGTCCCAGCCTACCTCCGCCTTGGCAAGCTGCCCTGACGCCCTGAGGCTCCTTTGCTTCTGTTACCAGACTTTTATATCATTTCCTCCTTTTCCCGCACTCTACCTCCAGCCTTTGGACAGGCTAATTTTCATTAGTGTTTTAAGACTCAGTTCAACCACATTTCTCCTTGTGGAAGCATTTCCTCTCTTGATTCCCACTTCAACTGTGGGTGTTCAGGTGTGCAATCTCCTATCCCTGTGAATCTGCAGTCCAGGTCTCTATTACATATTTGTATCTTCAGTATCCCCCCGCTAGATTGTGATGTTCTGAAGCTAACAATAATATTTTGTTTATTGCTTGTAGTGTAATCTCAGTAAATATAACATGAAAGAATCAACTGTTTCTATGAAGCTCTTCTAGACCTGCCCTTTGTATTGCAAAGTGAACATTTGTCATTTGTGATTTTTTATTGCTTTGGATTAATACCAAGCTGTTCTCCAAAGGTAAGGCTCCTGGAGCTGTAGGTCTTAAAAAACATAAATTGAGATCAATCCTAACAGAGTGCCTGCACTAAACACCACAAGATTTAGCAAGAGTGCAAATTACCTTATTTAATCATAGATTCAAGGAAAACTTCATCCAAGCAAAGACCTCGTGTGTTATACCTGAAGAGTAATATCAACTTTGTTCTTACCCCAGTGTTAGAGGTTTGTCTGGGTTTGTCCTTTGCATAAAAGCAACATGTAGGATTCATCACAACCAGCTGATGTTTCACTCATTGTAAAGTGCGTCATCAACATTTGATAAATAATAGTAACAATGACCCTAGTCAAAGACTTTGGGAGATACACCTGGGCTGAATGGAAAAATTACCTCCCTGAGTCTACACTGGCATCTGTTTGTGTGTCCTCGCTGCTCTTGGCTTCATCATTACACTCGATTAAGGGACTGGCTCTTCCAGAGCAGGACGGCGTGGTTTGTACGCGCCCTCTCAACTTCCCTCCCGAACATCTGCCATCAATAATGTAACAAATTGGACAGCCATTTCATTGTTGTACAAGTTCTTCATTTCCAAATATCATTTTTAAACTTGTTTTTTGCCCAAACTTTGGCTGTTAAAACTGGTGTTACAAGTACATATATTCTCATATTCCTCAGGCTCTTTAAAGGAAAACAAGATGCCTTTAAATACAAACGTGTGGATGTCTAAACTCCAGGGGCAAAGGAGGAGGTTGTAAGAAGAGATGACCCAAGATAGTCTTTATTCTGTTGAGAGGGGAACTGAATACTTAGCAATAATGGTTTATTGCCATTGACCTGATTCTTATATGTCTCTCATTTTGTTAATTCTACAATACCCCTCTTTATGTAGTGAGTTTCATGTGCAAAAGGAATGTGTTCAGTTCACAAGGATATAAAACGATGTCTAACTGTATTCTGTAATGGGAAAATAGCCATAAATATGAAGTGAGTTAAGGCATTCAATTATTGCTCCCTTTCCTTTGAAGTAAAATGATATTTTGATTGTCCAATTGAAAATACAGTAGCTTATTTGTTCAGAATAAATCTGTAACCTATCAGAAAGCCATTCTTTGCCTGGGAAATCTCATTTTCTCCCAATTATGCAACTCAACGTGTTTAATCATTAACTTTAAAAGAAGAAATTCAGTTAAAGAAAAAAGGAATCATGAGTCTTCATTGTTATTGCTTAATAATCCCTCAATTAGTGTGATGCTAAGCAAAGATTGGCAAAGAAAACTAAGTAGCTTTCTTTTTTCCCTGAAACTAGAAGCTTAAGATCTTCTCTGCAAATTGATGTTGAATACCAAATATTTATTTAAATAAAATTAAAAATTACAGAAAAGCCTACCTCTACCACAACTAAAGGGCAGATTAAAATTTAGAATTTAGAATAAAGATTTAACTTTGATCAGTTATAATTTTTTGATGTCTTAATTGTTTTGACAAAAGGTAATAAGTTTTGAGACCCTAGAAACTTCTTTACTGAATTTCTTGGTATTCAAATATAAATGAAAATAATATATTCAAAGTTCAGATTAATCAATCAGATATACTTTACCTTTGTACTACCCATGGTTTAAAAGTGTTCATTCCATTTAAAATAGTTTCTAAATAGGTTTTACAAATTCATTATTCCTGGCAAGTTCCATGAGTAGCTAAAACCAAACTCAGATATCAAGCCCATGTTGTCTTAAACAGCTGATAGTCTTATGAATAGCAAGAAAATAATCATGAATTATATGGCAAATGTGATTATTAGCTTCTTACATTTAGACTCCAAAATAGCTGGGTCAGTTTGGGGTTCCATTCAGTGAAGATGCCCATCTGATGGGCTAGCGGAGTTTAGACACCCTATGGTATTCTGGCTCACAACTGCCCTACATGCTATGGAGGATTTCAAAGAGGATGATAGATTTCTTTTGTCACTGTGCAGCCTGAGGAGCACCTGCATGCCCATACACATACATGTACAGTATGTTTCAAATACATTTATTGGGGACATCCTGTAAGCACCAGGTCAAGTGGTGGACAGTGAGGATATCAAAAGGAGTAAGACACCTCCCTTCACTTTGGAAGGCTCAGTCTTGTGGGGGAGACAGATATCTGTATGGGAGTAGGAGCAGAACATTGTAAAAAACACACTTGAGAATAAAAGTTCAAGGCTAACTTCTATGTGCTCTTTTAATTACTTCGTTTCCACAAGCAAAACTTCCTTTGGCCTTTCTTGTATAAATACTGAAACAGACACTAAATTCTGCTTGTCCTTGTAGGCAGCTGGTGAGAGCTCTCTAAAAGGTTACATATCAGTGTCCTCAGGTTTCCTTTTGAAGCCAGGTTTAAAGAAAAAAATACTAGGCCAGAGATAGTACAAATGTTTGAGGGTAACTGAATACTCCTTTTCATATTTTTCCCTTTCCCATTGTTCCTGTCATCTTTCCCTCTGAATAGTTGCTTATTATATATTTTTATATCTCTATATATGGAGAAGATGGGCCTGAATGCATTTTATGAACATAATTATAAGATACCACAAAAGCCACAAGAGAAAAAGAGCCTAAAAGAAAGAACAAAGCCAAAACTAAATCTTCATATTTCACACGCAGTAATTTCCGTGCCTCAGCAGGGTGGCATGGTCACAGAAGCAGGTGACGACGCAGAGGAATGGGGGCTCTCAAAGGACAGGGATTCTCGGGAAGGAGAAAACCTGGCTGTGGAAAGATGAGGTTCTTGAGATAAAAGTGCAAAAATTTAGGTATGTTTGACAATGTATGTTTTATAACCAGTTACTTTTATTTTATTTAACACGATTTATTGTCATTTGGGCCACACGTTTTAGTATTACTAGAATAAGTCTCATGTGTATTAAAAAGCCCATTTCTGAGCTATGACCTGAAAGGGGCATTCCAGTGCGGGCTCATCATCCCCCGCCACCCACCCCACCCCCGTGTCAAAGCTATCCCTTTTGAATTTCACTCAGAGGGGATTGTGAGTGAGGGTGTGTGGAAGGGGAGTGGATAGAAATGTGTTTTTCTAAGCAATTTCCCTTTAATTAAAAATGTGTTTTGGATTTATATTTATTTACACTTGAATTATCAAAATGTTCCTTTGGAAGAATTTTTTCCCTTTGAGGCATCTTAACTCACCCTTCCGGAAGCCACATTTTGCCATAAGTAGAAAAACTCTACACCAAAAAGTTTGAGTTTTGTCCCAGACTCTAACCCTACAATTTTGTGTGGGTTTTAAACTTGGCAAAATGCATGATCCCATCCCTAATCACTATCCATAATAGTACAGTGTGTGACAGTGGGGACAGAAGCAGGACTCTCCCGAAATACCAATAAATCCACCCAGGACAGTTGTCTGTGTTTTACTGTTCCCTCTGCCCACTCATCCCATGGAGCCTTTTTCCTCCAAACAAACCATTTTTTGTCCCCAAGATATTAGATAAACAGAGATCCTGAAGCCTGCTGACAATGTCGCTCATACTTTAAAATTACAGGTCTAATTACAGAGATGCTCATCTCCCTCACTGCCCACCCTTTGTTTTGAATGTACAGGTCACATGTTCTGCTTTGATTCTTGGTACCTGGAGCGTATTTCACCTAGGATATTCCCACACAGCTGTCTGTGTGACCCACTGGGTTCTTGACCCAAGAGAGAGTTTTACTTGTAACTTTCCTTTCTGAAAGGCCAGGTGTCAGACAGACAATGTGGGCTTTACACCTAAACCCCTTCACTGGCTCTCTGGTCTCTTGATTGAAAAGAAGAAAGGTTTTCTCTTAAGTCAATTCAATTAAGCCAAACATCAACTTCTTCTCTATGGGGCTTAGATGGAGTTCTGGATAATCCTGGCAAAGAGTCTCTTAACCCTCCTAGTTTTGCTTCCTGTAAATGTGGCACAGACAGACCTCCAGATAACAATGTGCTCCACCCTCCAGGCTGAGGGCCTCTGCTTGATTGTCAGCCACAACCTCTGAACCTCCTTGGGTCAAAGCCTGGCTCTTTCACTGCTTCTAATGGCATATATGGAGAGTGCAAAAGTATGAAAACAATGAAAGTAATAAGAGCATCTTTAAAAGGTATTTGTTAGCACTCACCCCATGGACTTAACTATTATTTAAGGGAAACATTATAATTGTGGTGAAATTATAGATTACCATTTTTCGCAGACTTCCTACAGCTAACCTCTACCCATTATGCTCCTATATTTGGAATAGTCCACTGAGCTAGTTGGAGGAAGGCCATTAGCTCAGTGCTTGCAACCAGAGTTATAGGAAGAAAAAAAGGGAGAACACTTTTATGATAATTCTTATTTCATAAAGTGTCATGTTATTTATAGAAAAATGAGACAGTGAAGTGTGCTTTCTTTTAAATCTGGCCTTTACTGCACCCTATAATTTATGGTAATATAATAAGTGATTTGAAAATAAAGATTTGAGACAACATTTCAGCATTAGTGTTTTTAAG